CAATACCCTCACAAGTCACACTGAGAGGTCAGTTTATAGGGAAAACTGTTGCCTGGATACAATTCTAAAACAATTTCCATATGTCCTTTGCAGACTTAACATGCTGGAAAAACACAGGTGCCAACTGCTGTGGCTTTCTGCAGTGTGCATACCGACAAGGAGGGCAGGGTTGAAGAGTGGGTGGAAGATGATGTGGATGATGATGAGGTCCTAAACCCCACATGGAATCAAGGTTATGCGAGTGACGTGTGCAATTTAGAGGAAGAGGCGCTGGTTGCACAGAGGCACCAGCACAGCATAAGAGGGAGAAGGGTGCAAAAGCGGAGCGGCCGTCCCCTAGTGCTTGTCGGCATGTATTAGCTCGAGAATTACCAGTTATCCAAGGATCCATAATAGAGTTGAGCGAACCCGAACTGCAAAGTTCGGGTTCGTACCAGATTTAACGATCCATTCGTAGTTTCACAGTCAGGTGGGCAGTCCGGTGACCAGAACCCAGACACTGTCTGGGCGGCGTTCAGACGACTGGGACCCAGTATGCCTGATGTTGAAGTTAGGAGTCACAGTGTGGAATGGATTAGCAGGGTCTGGTGCAGGATAACCGCATGCCCCATGGTGTTGAGCACCACCGTTTGTGCGGCCACATACCAGGACCCTGATGCAGCTGCGGTAAAAAGAGTACTGGATACCAGAAACCATCACCAGACTGATCCGCAACTTCGAACAGGATGTGACATTCCCTGTGGCGGCTGTGCGCGCTTTCGGCATTCTCACCCTGCTGCTGCTCGCCTGTCTGAGCTGCAGCGTGACTTCGGCCTTCTTGCTCACCGCCTGTTGAGACTGTGCAAGCAGCAGCAGGCGATAGTGGAGTTTCAGCTGCAGCACGCATGGGTCAGTGGCTCTGCACCAGACTTCCCTCCAATTGATCAGAGTTAAAGGATTTCAAATGGACTCATTACAATTACAGGGCCTCTAAAGAGTCCTGTATTGTTATTTGTCGTCACTGCCTTCCCGTGTCTTGAGTGGGTCATTTGCGCGCCTGCTGCCTTCCTTGCATGTGGTAGCCATTTTTCAGGGTCCCTGTATGGAGTGGAACCCTGATTCCCCTTACCCATGGTCACCATGGTAGTCGCAGAAACTGGCACCGAAAGTTGATATGGATGACATCCGCATGCAAAGTCGCCGTCACGGGGATGTGCGATTGGCCCGAAGTTCTCTAGAGTCAACAAAGTGCCTGCGCAACTATAATGTCAACAGATGCAAGAAAAAGTATGTGAACCCTTTGGAATGATATGGATTTCTGCACAAATTGGTCATAAAATGTGATCTGATCATCATCTAAGTCACAAAAATAGACAATCACAGTCTGCTTAAACTAATAACACACAAAGAATGAAATGTTGCCATGTTTTTATTGAACACACCATGTAAACATTCACAGTGCAGGTGGAAAAAGTATGTGAACCCCTAGACTAATGACATCTCCAAAAGCTAATTGGAGTGAGATGTCAGCCAACTGGAGTCCAATCAATGAGATGAGATTGGAGGTGTTGGTTACAGCTGCCCTGCCTATAAAAAACACACCAGTTCTGGGTTTGCTTTTCACAAGAAGCATTGCCTGATGTGAATGATGCCTTGCACAAAAGAGCTCTCAGAAGACCTACGATTAAGAATTGTTGACTTGCATGAAGCTGGAAAGGGTTATAAAAGTATCTCCAAAAGCCTTGCTGTTCATCAGTCCATGGTAAGACAAATTGTCTATAAATGGAGAAAGTTCAGCACTGCTGCTACTCTCCCTAGGAGTGGCCGTCTTGTAAAGATGACTGCAAGAGCACAGCGCAGACTGCTCAATGAGGTGAAGAAGAATCCTAGAGTGTCAGAGTTTCGTTTTTGATTACAGAAAAAGAAGAGATTTAATAAATAAAGTTATGGATGTGTTATGCAGTAATTTAGTTTGTGATAATAAATGCTGTGGCCTGTTCATCCATACTAAGTGGTCTGTCGTTATTGGGGGGTTGAATGGGGCTAGTTTTGTTCTAGGCTGCATCGCGATTCCCCACTACGTACATACATGCACGATTGCAAACATTCTAATTGTTTTGCTGCTAATCTGCTGCTTACATTGGAGTTGTAAAAAGTCAATTTTTTTAATTTAATTTTTTTTGGTGCTAAATAGTATATTTGGGGTGTTCACTTGATATCTGAGAGTCAAATCGAAGCGTAACTTTGATTCGAATTTACTATATCGGTCACTTGTAATATTGTTTTACACCTACAACACTTGTTACACAGATCTAAGTGATAGAAAACAGATTGATATTTTCTACACTAGAAACTACCAGATAACATGTTGCTATATTTAAACCAGTTATCAATAGCTAAGAGATACTTAAACAATATTGTAATTCTGGGGCAATACCCTCACAAGTCAAACTGAGAGATCAGTTTATAGGGAAAACTGTTGCCTGGATACAATTCTAAAACAATTTCCATATGTCCTTTGCAGACTTAACATGCTGGAAAAACACAGGTGCCAACTGCTGTGGCTTTCTGCAGTGTGCATACCGACAAGGAGGGCAGGGTTGAAGAGTGGGTGGAAGATGATGTGGATGATGATGAGGTCCTAGACCCCACATGGAATCAAGGTTATGCGAGTGACGTGTGCAGTTTAGAGGAAGAGGCGCTGGTTGCACAGAGGCACCAGCACAGCATAAGAGGGAGAAGGGTGCAAAAGCGGAGCGGCGTCCCCTAGTGCTCGTCGGCATGTATTAGCTCGAGAATTACCAGTTATCCAAGGATCCATAATAGAGTTGAGCGAACCCGAACTGCAAAGTTCGGGTTCGTACCAGATTTAACGATCCATTCGTAGTTTCACAGTCAGGTGGGCAGTCCGGTGACCAGAACCCAGACACTGTCTGGGCGGCGGTCAGACGACTGGGACCCAGTATGCCTGATGTTGAAGTTAGGAGTCACAGTGTGGAATGGATTAGCAGGGTCTGGTGCAGGATAACCGCACGCCTCCTGGTGTTGAGCACCACCGTTTGTGCGGCCACATACCAGGACCCTGATGCAGCTTCGGTAAAAAGAGTACTGGATACCAGAAACCATCACCAGACTGATCCGCAACTTCGAACAGGATGTGACATTCACTCTGGTGGCTGTGCGCGCTTTCGGCGTTCTCACCCTGCTGCTGCTCGCCTGTCTGAGCTGCAGCGTGACTTCGGCCTTCTTGCTCACCGCCTGTTGAGACTGTGCAAGCAGCAGCAGGCTATAGTGGAGTTTCAGCTGCAGCACGCATGGGTCAGTGGCTCTGCACCAGACTTCCCTCCAATTGATCAGAGTTAAAGGATTTCAAATGGACTCATTACAATTACAGGGCCTCTAAAGAGTCCTGTATTGTTATTTGTCGTCGCTGCCTTCCCGTGTCTTGAGTGGGTCATTTACGCGCCTGCTGCCTTCCTTGCATGTGGTAGCCATTTTTCAGGGTCCCTGTATGGAATGGAACCC